GGGGGGGGGGGGTTTCTTCGGATTTCTGGCATCGGGACTCAGACTCGATCAGAGGGGGTCCGGGAATTTCCATATTTCCCTTTTCACTTCTACACTGGTGGCTTTGGGGTAACTGAAAAGACGTTTCAAAGAATAAACTTTTGTCAAAAGGTCCATGGTGAAAATAAAATACGGGGATGTGAAAATAAAAGAATATAGAGACAATCAGGAGATAGCCACTGATCTCGTTTTCACTAAGAACGAGCACCGAATTTCGAGCAAAAGCATATCAGCATCGGGTTGCTTGCAGCATTTGGACAGCTTTAAATACACACTCTCTATAGACTCCATTCTTACTATGGTCGCTTGGTCTGTTGGGACCAGGTGTATTGTCTCTAAGTCTCTGAGGTGCATGCACTCCAGTGTCTTCTGGTCACGAATCTTCCAATCTTGCAAAATATGATTTATCGATCTATATGTGCGGACACATGCAAATATGACGCCAGTACTATCGTGTCCCTCCCCATTGGATAGTACAGTGTAAATAACAGAGGTAGGCAATAGGATTTGGCTTGAAGTTGCAGTACGGCCTTTTACATCCCCTTCTGCTTTCGGAAAAGCTGATGATATAGTACCTATATATTAGTTGCACCGGCTAATTGAAATAATGCTAACTGGCCCGGTCGGGCACACCTTCACATGACAAACAATGTACTGCTCTACGCCTCCCTGAACCAATTTGTGCACAGCCGGGTCCTTCTTGCGCTTCCAATCTCGCATGGTTTAACTGCGTGTACCATCGTGAACTGAAAGTGTAAACAAGTGGTGTGGAGGAGTGCTGATCTCATATGATGACGACAGTATAGCAAGACACACCATTGCTTTCCCTCTTTCTTTTTCGTTTCTTTTCGTCCTTTTCTTCTCCCGGGTTTCAATCAAATGTGCTTGATTTGATCACACCCGATACATTAAAACAAACCCCCCCAGTCGCAAAACACAAACATTCAACGAGCATTGATTATTACACTAATGAAGCTTAGAAGGTTCTCCCGACAATGGGTACCGACTGTTCATTTCGACTTGTGCCAGCGATGTACTGAAAGTGTAAACAAATGATGTGGAGGAGTGCTGATCTCAATGATGACGACAGTATAGCAAGGCTGACCATTGCTTTCCCTCTTTCTTTTTCTTTTCTTTTCGTCCTCTCCTTCTCCCGGGTTTCAATCAAAAGTGCTCGATTCGATCACACCCGATATATTTAAAAAACCCCCCAAGTCGCAAAACACAAACATTCAACGAGCATTGATATTAACACTATTATTACACTAATGTAGCTTAGAAGGTCCTTCCGACAATGGGTCCCTACTGTTCATTTCGACTTGTGCCAGTGATATTTTTATCGCTGCATCGTAAGTCGAAAATGACGGCACGTCATCCTGCTGGTCACATATTTCTTCCCTCAATACCGGAAAAAACCTATTGAGTATGGGACATAGTGTAAAACAAAGCTATCAACTGGGCTTGAGAGTACGAGCCACATTTTAACATCGGCCTTTCCGTATTGAACAACTTCTATAGCTACCCTCCTAGTCTTTCAGAATCACTGAGAAAAAGTTCGATAAAGTCGCAAAACACATATATAGAAAAACCAAAACAAGCATCGTCATTCACTCAATATATCTATTACACAAAAATAGTTAAGAACGTTCTTCCGGTAATGGGTTCCTACTGTTCATTTCGACTTATGCCAGCGATGTTTTCATCGTAAGTCGTAAGTCGAAAACGACTGCACGTTAGCCTGCTGGTCACATATTTCATCACTTCAATACCCAAAATAACTTACTGAGTATTGGGCATATGGTATTTATTTCGATTTGGGTAAATTATTATGTCTGTACGCACGTCAGGCTTCATATTCTTTGGAGAGGTTCTGGGAAAATTGAAGGGAACGGAAAACAAAGCGATCAACTGGACCTGGGTGCGAGCCACACTTTAACATCGGCCTTTCCGTATTGAACAACTTGTATAGCTACCCGCCTAGTCTTTCCGAATCACTGAAAAAAAGCAGTATCTTAATAAAGTCGCAAAACACATACTGTGCTGAAAAACGAAAACAAGCATCGTCATTCACTCAATATCGATATTACATAAAAGTAGCTAAGAACGATCTTCAGGCAATGGGTTCCTACTGTTCATTTTGACTTGTGCCAGCGATGTTCTTATCGCAGCATCGTATTAGTCGAAAACAACGCCACGTCATACTGCTGGTCGCATCTTTCATCCCTTTAATACCGAAAAAAAATTTCTACTGAGTATCGGGCACAGTGAGAAATAAAGTTTTTGAATAGACTTATGTACGAGCCGCATTTTAACATCGGCCTTTCCGTAGTAAAATACTTCTACAGCTACTCGCCGACGCACGAGAATAAAAACCCCCCATAAAGTCGCAAAACACACACCTTGAAAGACCAAATCGAGTATTGTCATTCACACAAAATAAGTATTGATATTATTAATACATAAACATTGAAAACGATGATCTGGCAATGAGTTCCTACTGTTCATTTCTGCTTTTGACGGTGATGTATTCATCCCAACATCGTAAGTCGAGTCATTCTGCAGGACAAACTCCTATCTTATATCACCTACAATTGGCTCATCAATTCAAGGCCACTAGCATGATGGCGCTTACTGCACTGGCCGACAAGGGTTTTACCTAATTCACTAGAGACCGAGGAGCTTGTATCTTGCCATAAGTCCCACTGGATAAATTCACAGTTTTCGTTTATGAATCTCCATTCCGATATATCACTACTAATGCTACACAGTGACACTTGAGCGCATAGCGTAGCTCCTGATCGTACATATACGTAAACAATACCTTCAATATAAATATACAATAAGTCCTATATCGGTGCCGACATACATTTCGATACATTTCGTGAAAACCCATACTTGATATGCACATGTCTAGGGTCGCGTACGGTTCTTGCTGTTATATAGAATTTGTCGCTAACCAGTTTTTATATTTCACATCTGGTATATTTGGCAAGTATAGCTTTGATCCCACCTAGCGAGATCTTTGCTGCTGGGGAAATGCTACCAGAGAGGGCAGTGGTATATTGTTGCTGTCGAGGAACGAGTGGAGGCGTATAAGCAACGCAACGGTATCTGTACATATATAAATATATCAAATTTTGTTTGTCTGTTTCTCTTTCAAAATTAAGAGCGAAAACTTTCTTCATTGATATGCCATGTTACTTTGGAAATTGACCAATAGTGATAGGCCTGCATTCATCTCGTTGACGATTGAGATCGCCCTGTGAACGCACAAAGGTGAAAATGTACACAGAGGTATTTCAAAGGGTTCTCGATGGACATTGATTCGTCATTGCTATACAGGGGTGCCCAGCGAGACCATAGTGAACGCTTTTTTGAATATTAGATAAATCAGACATACAAAAACAAACAAAGTAGTCATACAAAGTGTATGGCTCCGTACTGTATACTATGGATCGAGTATGACGTGCCCTACCTACGATTGGACCAATACTACTATGAGAAGGTGGCCGAAAAATCGGAGAGTGAGCAGAGTTGTAGCACGAGATCGGGTTGTGGCACGAGATCGAGTTGTGGCACTATATTTTACGTCGTGAAAAGGATAATGAGTGTGACGGTCCGATATACCAACTACATGATGCACCAGTCTTGTAGGGCATTCGACTTTTTGTTGCATGTATGACCCATCGTGGCAATATTGATGTATCGCTAGCCAAGTATCTGCAGTGACGATTCTTCGGATGGGGTGCTATAAACGATTTGTATGAGAGCGTGAAAAAAGGCATACAAGCAACTTCAATTAAAAAAAACCCCTGTGTTATTTTCTCTACGTGTATTGAGGCAAGACCAGTGTGATCCAGCTGCTTTTGTACAGTAGTAAAGTGCATTGAAAATTAGCTTGCTGCTTTTTGGAAGTCCCGAGTTATCGTTGCATCGGGCACATACACCTACCCAGAGCCTTTTAGGAACTTCAATATTAGCAATGGCCTAATACTATCACAGGGTCGGCATATTTTGTGTAAATCTGTTCATTGTAATCATTGACAACAATACTTGTCGTGGTACTACTGTCGGGAGCCGGGAGTACAGTGCTATCCATGTATTAATACATTGTGCTTCACGAGATGGTGTCACTCTAACCTACGTTACACAAATGCATAAATGTATTATACATCAATATCTGTATAATATGCACACTCCATGGAATGTTTTTTTTGTTGCGGTAATGGGATTTCTCCAATATTTGATCGGGCGCATTTCCATTCACAGTCGTACATTTGTGATACATCACAATTTCTTCACGTGGATAAAGGAAAAATTGTTGTCGACATTTGGAAATACTTGCAAGTATTCAATTGTGCTTTTAGCCCTTTCATCGCTTCCGATGTTGCTCATCGCACCTATATCGACAACCATTACACACAAAACATATATTAAGGAAGTAAATGTAGTAATTTTATTTAACCTAACTAGTACTAAGAAATATTCAACAGTTGATATGTACATCTGTATGTATTGAAATATATCTACATCGGTATGTATTTAGTCTAGTAGATTAATTCACGCATTTGTGATGAAGTTTTCGAAGCAACACATACACACAACTATTTTGCATCTACATAGATATGTATTTTAGTCTAATAACAAACGCACGCATATATGATGAAGCTTCCAAAGCGACACACACACACACACACATGGGAAGTTGCAGGACTCAACTGAAGTGCAAAGAGGATGTATAAGCCGCTTCGTTGTTGTCGTCAATCACAGTTAGAACGTTTTCTGTCACCATGCTTTCGATGGATGGATGTTTTAATGATGATGAGGCTGGCTTGAATCGAGCGAGTTAACTGTATGGACAAGGTTGAGAGACTAGTACCGAGTTATCCTGCATCGATGGTGGTGATGCCGATAGTATAGCTGGTACTGAGTCAGATTGCGTTGCCGTTCCTGAACTAGATTGTGATGTTGATACTAAATTCGATCGCGCTCTGATAGCAACCCTGTCACCAAATATAGTTAAATGACCAGACGATAGGTTTCTACGTAGTCGTGATGACGCGCTCGGCCTATTAGCACCGCGACGAGGTTGTCAAATAGTTTTAACGTTCCGTCCACCTGTTACTTTGTCAATTTTGATTTTGGTGGCATTGTACATATGAATTGTGGTAGTGGATTCAGCTATATATTTCAAGTAAAGATTGACAATTAGAGTATTTTAAATAAAGAAATGAATTATTTATTAGTTTATTGATAGTTTCCTATATTAAGGATCTGGTCACCAAAAGGCCTCCCTTCTTCCTTACTTCCCCCTCCTGATTTAATCATTATGTCACTCGCTTTCAGATAATCAAAAAATCTCACTGCTCATAGGTCAGCCTTGAGTTGTCTAGTGGTGAGAGCAACCTTTTGTCCTGATTCGAACGCGGGCATACCAAGGTACGGACAGGTACCGCATCGGAAGGCATCTCCGAGGTAACACTGGAAAAGAAAGAAGCGAATTTGATAGTATCAATAATCAAATTATTCACTTCACGAAGAAAACAATTCAAACTCGAACGGCTGTAGTATGAGAAGAACTAGAAGGTAGATAATCGCGGCGACAATCTACCCTCAGAATACAATTCATTCAACCGAAAGCACAACTACCCACAATTCGAAGGTGATGGGAACAATTCGCTGGCATGTGTAGTATATAAATCGATCCGAAACATACACTTCCACAAGATGACTCGGGTGCGGCCTCAAACTCGTCCTTGCCGCTGGCTTCCATCTCTTTTAGTCCACATGAACAGTCTTTGCATGCTCGCTTCTTGGCTCCAGGTTCGGCCGGAGCACAGCCGCTGGAAAGCGCGGCAGCATCTGGCTTAACCTTGTCACTGTCATCCAATAGATCATCCTCATCAACCTGAAACGGAGTTAAAATATAAAAATGTGCAACCAAAATGAACTTCACAGAAAGATTACTATCACGTACGTGAATGGTACCACACAGATATACAAGTTGTATCCATTAAAAACCCAAAAATAAAAATTACTCCTAAAATGACAACACGCATTGCGCTCGCATGAAGGAACTACGGAGAGCCCACTATAAGAGAACAGTATACATGCAGATTAAATTACATACCAGGTCCATATCATCTCCGAAATCTGTGGCAGCAACAGTCCACACGGACGGTTTGGAAGGTGCAGCAGCGGGCGTTTTCTTCTTGCGATTGAGAGCCATCGGTAGGGGCGCACTATGTGAGCGTAAAAGAATAGCAAATATATTAAGCTGATGGACAGTAGATATATTGACAATTGCGATTAGTACACACCTGATAAGCTGCGCCTTATATACTACAAGCCAATTGGAATTAAATGCGAACAAGCCGCGGCGTTGCATAAATATTTTTCTTCTTCTTCAGAATCAAGGCATTGCACAGAGTAAGCGAATCTATCTCCTCACAAATATCGCATACGTACCTCTCAAGCACGTCAAAATCAGGTGTCACAGCAACGACTGTAACTAATTTCAGTTCTCGGAGCTTCTCTTCCGTAACGTCAGGTCTATTTTTTTGCACGTGCTGCAGGATGGCCTCTCGTTGTGCATCAGTGGGGGACACGGTCTCCTCAACATTCACGTTTACGAAGCCAGTGAGCTTCAGGGTAGTAACAAGATCATCACCGGAGCGCTATGTATATGAGAGTAGCAAAGAAAATAACAGATAATTGAACACAAACGAAGAAAGAAAAACTAAAACTGGAGAGTTGAAAAACGAGAGATCACCGACTGCAGGAGATGCATAGGATACAGATGGCTTCATCTGCAGCCATATTAAAGTGCGTCGCACGAACAATAATTGAAGATCATCACAACAAAGTTCAAATGCAACGCCCATTGTATAGACTACGAACATTCGCAAAATCTGAAATAGCCTTCAATTCCGAATCACAGCCATGTGTGGAGACTTCAAGAAATTATGTTTGAACCAGCATAATAGTACTGATATAGCGTGTAATACCACAATATATACCGATGGTTCCCCATTCAGATGCGTACGTATATACACAGAAAAATTGACAACAGGGCAATATATACAAGTAAACCCCAGAAATTAAGTTTGTACACCGGGGACTCCGCAAGCGGACACGCCGAGACAAGCTACAAATACGCAGGTGATCCATATAAATACACTTCTTTCCTCACAGTAGAAAACTTGGACATAAAGCCAGAATAAGAACCACTATTGAAGAGCACACCTGTAAGGGCGAGAACACTTTCATAGCTGTTGACGGCAAGACCGGCTCGCATACACGGAGAGTTGATGTTTGCCCCAACAACCTGAAGATCTCGGCGAATTGCTCAGTGGTATGTACGCAGGTATATGGTGCCATTGTTCCAAGGAATGCAACATCGAAAGTGGATGCCGACATCTTGATCTTACCTAAAAGAATATTTTGAGAACAAGTTGTGCCTTGTCAAAGTAGTTTGGCGCGGGAGATATGACTACAGATTATGCCTGTCATGCAAACTTATAATACAAGAAAAACGAAGAACAACACCAAATACGTGCGAATACTGCATTTACACTAAAGTCTTATGACAAAACTCGAGCCTTATATTGGAAAAATAATCTGAATAAGTATGCCTAAAACACAGCATATAAAGAAGCTAATACATACTGAAAACCAAAAACCTACTGGATAACAAAAATATCAGCGAGATACAAACCAGTACAACAAGTCATATATATATACATATATATATATATATTAAAATAAAATAAATAAATAAATATCAATATATATCAATATATACGTATTTATAGATATTTATATATATTATAAACAAACACAAAGAAATATTACACATACAGGCATATATATATATATATATATATATATAATATATATGTATATATACATATATATATATATAAACAAGCACGCACACACGTGTGTATACTTCAACACTCGCAAAAAAACAAATATATATATATATATATATATCCGAATAACCATCAAACCACACCTACTGACACACACACACACACATATATAGATATAGATACATATAATGTGTTTATATATATATATACATAATATGTGCACACACATACACACACACATATATATATAGACACACACACACACACATACACACACACACACACACACACACACACATATATATATATGTGCTAATCAATGTGCAGTAGTCTATCTACCCATCTATCGATTCTATCGGCATATTTGTATATCTATCTAATATATGTATATTAGATAATCTATATATATAAATAGATATATATATATATATATCTTTAAATATGTAGACATATATATGAAAACCAAGAGGAAAAACACCAATGTAACATGATAAATAAATAAACAAACACAAACATACACACACACACATATCTATATCACAAATAAAGCGATGAACATTTGCGTGCAAATTACAAATTATATACCTATATATAGATATACACTTACAAACACACACACACACACACATATATGTATATGTATATGAATATATCAATTCATACGTCTATATATATATGCATAAATAGTAAATAATTGGTGGTATAAAGATGTTGAAGAATTATAAATAGAAATAGGTGAATAAATACATATTTAGATGAATATATATATATATATACATACATACATACACACACAAGCATATATATATAGATACACACATATGTAAATACAAAATATACACATATGTAAATACAAAATATACACATGTATACACAAAAATATAAAAAACACGCACAAATAGCCATACACACAAATCGGATATATATACATACACATACACACAAACACGTCGCAAGCATACATACATATATACATACA